GTAGGTACTGTCTTCTTTTTCGAAGAAGTGGGGTATTAACTATAGACCTTGAGCACCCATGATGGTCAGCTGGGAGGAATAGGGCTTTATGACCTTCCGGTATTCTCAGAAATGAAGATTGACCCAACAAATTATCAGAGCTATTGTTATTATTTATTAAAGCTAATAAAGCCTGAATGGTATCCTGAGAATTGAGACCATTCACTACCAGAGTAGTTTGAACCAGCGTGGTTCTTACGGGAGTGTTTTGGACTGGAATATTTTGGATTGGATACCGTTATTAACTGGGGCGACCAGATTTGGGCATTGACGAACTATATGTCCAGGTTGCCCACAATTGTAGCATACAATTCCTTGGGGTGCATTGTATGCAGTACCAGGTTGTCTAGGTTGAAAAGGTCATCTTGGTTCTTGCCATTGAGTCATCATCCAGTTGATAGCTTCAGTTAGCCTATTTAAAACGTTCTCAGTTCTATTTCCATTTGGATTAGTGGGTATTGTCCCTAACATACCAGGAAGAGCGTATAAAGGGTATACTGCAGGCTGGCCTAATAGAGCCATATGCATAGGGCTGCTTTTATAAGTATTCTCAAATGCTTTAGCACGAGTGCAAGCTTCTTCTAGGGTATTGGGAGTTAGTAGAGATACCACAGTATAAAGTTCTGGACGTAGCCCATTAATAAACATTTGGGCTTTTGTGGTGTTTGGATATTGATGTTCTTCGGATTCTACTCGCCAGATTATTTCTTCTATTGCTATATGATAATCGTCCACACTTTCTCTTGCAGCTGCTTCCTTTGAGTCAGCTATGCAAACCATTTTCCCTCTAATTCTGGCATTCGAAATTTATTTACAAAGTGGACAACAAAGGTCTGGTGGGGTACTAAGAGATCATGCCATTAATCGATAATCGGTACTTGATTTCTTCAGTTTATTCACCAAGTCGCAGCCGGACCTTTTAACTTTGCACAATTACTGAAATTTTTTGTAGTGGTGTTACCAAATTAGCCTCAAAGGCTTTTTCCATGTCTTCCAACCAAGTTATCGGGTCTTGGTCTCCTCTGTGGAATTCCGGATATTGTATAGTATTCAGTTCTCTAGGGTTCATAGGAAGATTAATCTGTAGTTGAGGAGCGGCTTGCATCTGCTGAACCAAGTTGGCGATTTGATGCGCCAGGTTGTGCAAAGGGTTATTTAGGTTGAAAGCAGGTTGCTGTGGGGTTGGGGTTGTTGTGGTGATTGGGCCATCTTGTGTTTAATTTTAGTTCTCTTTGATTAAATTCTTTCTATTTTGATTATTCAGGTCCACACAATCGGCACCAAATATTACTATTGTTTGGGAGAGCAATGGTGTTATATGGGCAATTTAGCTCCAATAGTTAATGTTAAAGAAATTTATATGTATTGTTAGTCGATAATTTAAGCACATGGAGACTATGATTTAGGGCCTCGATTTACGTAGATTACGATCGGGCTCTTACTAAATTGGACCAAGTTTGGGTTATGTACGTAATTTAAGGATGTACAAAAAGGGTAAACTAGGGCTGACGAAATAAATTAAGGTAATGACAGAACAATAGGACAGATCTATACTAAGAAGTTGGGGTGGATAGCCTTATTATAATACTGTTATTATGGTTTTTAACAATAAGACAGGTCTAAGATAAGGGGTTCGAGATTAGGTAGCGTTTAGGAATACTTCTAGGGTATATACTTAACAATACGAAAAATAAAAATAAATAAAGAAATAGAAATAATAAAAAATAAAATAAAATAAAATAAATATAAAAGGTTCAATGTTTCACTAGACATTTCTTAACAATAATGAGAAGTCGATTCTTAGTTTTACTTTTCTAAAGACATCGAAGTCTTAGAAAAACTTTATTAACGCAAAATGGCGGTCTTTAAATACATTTTCTTTCTATATTTAATTACTGCACTATTTTCCTACTTTTCCTTTACCACTCTTTCTATTACTTGTGAATTGATTGCTTGTAATAAAAAAAGCCTCGTATCTTAGGCTTTACTTTTGCGCACATTTTGCTGACAATCTGCCAGCCCGCCTCTATCTATTGTATGTCTTATGATAAATAAACAAAAACATAAACAAATAAAAAATATATATATATATATATAAAAAAATAAAAAGAAAGTCAAGCCACGATCCCTAGTCACGAGAACCCATGACAATAGGAAATTATTTTCCAAAGAATCTGCCAGGTTGATGAAAAGTAACTAAATAGTGGCCTTTTAATGGAAATAAATATATTTCTTGACGTAATGGTGAAACATTTTACTACAATGAAATTTTATCAAACTGGAAAGCTTACATGGTTCACTTAAAGTTACTTGTAAACAAATTGAAGAAGAACTTGATTACTTTCAATTCTTCTTAATAAATCAATGTGAATTGTTCATCAGCTTTATAAATTATTAAAAAATCTATTTCAACCATTAAGATTGATCATTTGTTGTTGTAATTATCTTAAAATACGTTTAGTCTAGAAATTGGACGTAATGATGAGATTCATTAAATTAATCAAATAATATTATTTAGGAAATTTACAACAGTATTGATAAAATTTAGAGTTGGCCTCGAAACGAAACCTACCCGAAACTAGTTTCGGGAAGGTTCTAATCCGAAACTGGTTTTGGTTTTTTTAAAAAAAAACCAAAACCCCGAAACCCGAAATTCCCAAAACTATAATCCGAAACTCCGAAACCCTAGTTGACCAATCAGGATGCATGATCAAGCATAACATTAAAATCGAAGCGATTACAATTTTTAAAAAATCGCTTCTAACTCTTAATTTGCCCATGAAACTGCCCTTATAAAATTCTATGTAAACAAAGTATTGTTTATATAGAAATTTTATATAGTCGGCCAATCATTTTTTGGTAATATCTTGGTATTTACTAGGCCAATTTGAATGATCTAACCACCATTAGATGCATCTTAACGAGCTCTACAACTTTTAATTAATTTGCTTTGGTTGTTAAGTTAATAAAAAAAATATTTTTCATTTGACTCTGCTCAGATTCCAACATATAGTTAACATTATAGAGATTTTGCCCCAAATTCTAATATAGAACTTGTGCTGATTTTATTTGGATCAGCAATTAATAAAATTAATTGCTTTGCAATAATAATAGTTTACAGCTATTTTTATTATTTCTAGAACATATAAAAAATTAGCTGAAAAATTTTTTGGCCAGTTATTTTTTTGGCATAATAAATTTAATAAAAATTAATATAATGCTGTAATATATATACAGTATATTAAAATCAAATAGCTAATGTAAATAAAAAATTATACATATTTCTTGTTAAATTCAAAAAATATAATATTTTCAAACTACATTTGCTAGCAAATTGTTAAAAAAATTTGAAGGCCTATTAACTTAAAAAATTGCAAAACACTTAGGTATTACCAGGTCTTCTATAAGTCAAATTCTTGTACATTTTTAAAGATATAGTTGTATTGAAAAACTTTTATTGCTTTTGAGAAAACCATATTCTTTAAACATGAATGATATAAATTATTTTAAGTTTAAATGAAAGAAAAATTTGACTGGTACTTAAATGAGATAGAACTTTGCTAGGATGTAATATTAGTCTTACAATAATAATATACTGACTTAGATATATACACAAAAGGTAATATTTTATATATTTATATATATTTTTATTTTAACAATTTTATAAAAGGCCTTTTGTATTAATAGCTTCTGATTCAGGTTCTTTAATGTTAATAATATCCAATTTAGGATCCTTTTCACTATTGATTTCTGAATCAGTTGCAGTCACTTCAGACAAGTCGGATAACTCAAAAGTATTTGCTATAAACAATAAAAATTCTAGATAATCTTTAATTGTTAGATCTACTGTTTCACTTTGATTGTATTGATTATAATTTTTAATACATTTTTGACACATATTAATTAAGTCTTGATTTTTTGAAATCTCGACTTTAATTAAACTTTTAGTCCAATCGACGAATTCTTAATCATATCTAACTTTTTTAATATTAGCACCTATTCGTATAATATATTTACTAAAAAATCTAATTTGATATCTAGAGCCTTTTTATATTTCTTGTCAAGTTTTATTGGTTGACAAGAACAATCATTTCTATAAACATTTGTACAAATTAAACACACAAAACATATTGGGCAAAGTTCAAACAAAATTTTAATAATTTTGACATTATAATAATAAATTTATTTGTAGAACATGTATTATATTTATTATAGTAATTTTTGAAATTGAAACAATAATGTAATTTAATTTATGATGTAGAAATTATATCATATTACAGTAAATAACAATTCAAAAATATATTTTTTAAAATTAATATATGTACCCTAAGGGTATACTAAAATTTTTGTACTCTAGATTCTGTGTAACATAATTTAATTATTTTTTTTTTTATTTGGGTTGTTTCAACTTTTGAACTTTAATTAATGTCTTTTCTTTTTTTAAACTTCTTTCAGGTGATGGATAATAGCTTAATTTCATTGCAGTTGGAATCATTGTTACTGGAGTATTGTTAGTACTAGGCTCTTACTGTTGGTAAATTTGTCATTATTTGTGTTGCTACTAATTTTGCATCATCTATTGTGGTGCCACTATTATAAATTTTGTTGTTGTTTGTAATGTATTGGTTGTGCTTTGTCTGTTGTGTGCTGTTAGTATCACCTTTGTTTGTTGTTGTTAGGGTGTAGTGTCTACAGTATTTTAATGTTTTCTGAAAACCTCAGAAGAGTATTAGCTTTTATTCGTCATTTTAGATTTTGAACGCATTTACTAACGCTTATGTCTTTTTTTTCCAGAAGTTATCAAGGGTCTTCAAACTTTCAGTTTGTTATTGGGTATACATTCTGGTATCAGGAACTTTAGGAGAGTAAAATACTGTTTGTTCGTCATGTTGAATTTTGAACATGTTTACTAATTCCATTTTGCATTTATTAATGCTTCTATTTTTGTTTTCTGGAAGTTATCAAGGGTCTTCAAACTTTTGTTCCATTATTGGGTTTACATTTTGGTATTGGGAACTTTGGGAGAGTAAATACTGTTCATTGTTTAGATTTTGTATGCATTTACTACCACTTTGTTCAGATGTTTTAAGGTCTTCAAGCTTTTATTCTGTTCTTGGTATATATTCTGGTATTAGGAACTTCAGAAGAGTAAGATACCTTTTGTTTATCGTTGTGGTTTTTGAATGCGTTTACTGATATATATTTTTTTCCAGGTATTTTTGAGCTTTCATTCTGTTCTTGGGTGTGAATTGTGTACATTGCAGTCTTGAAAACTCAGGAGAGTATAAACATCTGTTTGTATTTCAGCTTTTGAACATATTTACTAATAATCTTTCTTTTTTCAGTATATTAGGTTCTTTAAATTTTAGGTGAGTATAATGTTTGGTTAGTTTTTTGGACTTTTAAAACACTTACTTATGCTTTGTTTTTCTAGATGTTTTCATTTCATTTTTGGGTATCAGGTATCGGCTTCAGGTCATAGCTTTATATTCTGTTTTTTAGAAGCATTATTGGTTTGATTTATAAATATGATTTATTAATGTTTCTTTTTCTTCTTTCTAGATTATAGTTGAATGTAGGTTTTTCGGAAGTAACAGTAAATCATGATGTTCAGGTTGTGATGCCATCAAAAAATGAATTCGCCTGTGATTTCTATTGCATCTTTGTGTTTTGTGATGCTATTGTTAGAAGAATTTTGTCATTGATCTTGTTAATTATTCATTTCTATGAATATTAAGGTTATAGTAGTAGAAGTTATAACAGTTACTTTAGAAGAATTTACACAATAATATTTTAACTGTTAATAAATAGTTCATTAATACTGTAATAATGATATCAAGTGTCACGTAGTTTCCAAGACTCCCTTATACTCATGTGTCTTTATTATCAATCTTCACTTGCTTGGCAATTAAATGATGACTGGAGTATCGTACCAGATACTACCACCAATACAATATTCGCACAGATAAGACAATTTATTTACTAAGTGTCTAGGTAATTCCTAGAACAAAAGTTAGGCCCTTCTCCTATTTGGGTCGATCCCTTCTCTTCGCTAATGATTACTACATTATTCATGCAATACTAATCGCTCCTGATTATTACATTGTTCATGCAATCACTAAATTAAACTTTTAATTAAATCGTGATCATGCCATTCATGCTAACACTGATTACAATATTCGATCACCACGTACCCGATCACTGGCCTGGGTACCACTAACCAACCCTGGCACTACAAGTACATGGGCATTGACAAACACCGCGACATCAAGTCGCGTGATTGTTGTACCAAATACAGTATTATATTTTATCATAATAAATATGTATGTTATGCGTAATATATATATATATTATTATATATTAATGTATATAGTGTATATATATCACATGATACGGGTACATGTACCCTAGGGTACATATATATAATCCCTATTTTTTATATACCGATCATGCCGAAAACATTACTAACTGGCCGAAAAATTCTTCGGCTAATTTTTTATAGGTGTCCCAGGAATAATGAAAACAGCTGTTAAACATTTTAGGCAGCTGATATTATTTTAGGCAGCTGGTATTATTTACGGCTTAGGTCACGAGCTAAAAGGTAGATCGTCAAAATTAGGCGTAGTAAACCCATGATCGAAGATAAATCAAGACAAGAAATACTAGTTTATCAGTTGAGGCTTATAGGCTGAATGAAACTAGTAAACAGGTTTGTAATTTATCCCAAGGCTTAAATTAAGAATAACTCCTTAGCTGAACCAGCATTATAACCAATGCAAAATCTGAAGAACCTGAACACGTAAAAAGAGAAGAGCGAAGAACAAGAAATTAAGAAATTATTAGAAGTGGCTGCAATATGAAATATTGCAAGAAGCGAAGCAAAGCCTTATTTTTATTATAATCATGTTGTACTTATCATTGTAAGCCCCTTAAATTATAGTGATTTCCCTTGATTCTTTCGTGATGAAAGATGAGATTTATCCCTAAGCCTCTTTAATCTATTAGATGTAAAAGTTATAAAAACCTTGTAATTTCTCTATTGTAAAAGGATTTCCTATATCCTACGGGATTCTAATAATATCTTCTAATACATTTGCTAAATCACCCTAATAAATTCTTAAAATAAATTAAATTATTGTCAAATCACCATTGTCACGCCTCTGGCGAGTTGCCTTATCTAAAATCTTTTTTTTTATGCATAAACATATTAAACTTATGGTTCACCCGTAACAGCGTCTAAAATATTTTCGGCAAGCCAAAAATAATTTAGGCACACATGTATAGGCAGTGGAATGAATAGGATCAGTTATTGTTAATCAAATTCAGTAATATGAGCAAGAACCTTTCAAATACTATTTGAAGTTACAAGAACAAGCAACGTTTGTTGGTATCATACACAGTATCTTAAAGGAATTGGGTCAAAAAAAAAATAAATGAAAAATTGTTTTCAAATATTTTAAGTAGACTGAAAAGATAATATCAGAGGAATAAATAGTAAAAAAGAGATAATGAGAATGGGTTAAATCAGCAGATTTTTTTCAAAATTCAATTAAGGGTACGAAATTTAATAGTAAAATTATCAATTAAATATAATATGAAACGGGCAATGGATCCAAGCTCTAATATTAGAGTGTCCCACTACATTTAGTTATAACTGGGCAGCGATGCCGCTGTTACGAAAATTTTATGTTTAAATTTTCTTTGTTATATTTTCTATTTTGTAATAGTATTTCTTACTATATTTGGTAGTGCTATTGATATGATATGGCTGTGCATGGTTTAGAGCCACTGATATTGGTTCGAGACCATAAATAATTTATAGTTATTGTATGGGGTTTTAGTGAAAAACCCAGTTACACGCGGGTTCATATTTCGTGCCTTCGGCACGGAAGTTAAATATGGTGTAACCGGGTATTCAATTTACCCATACAGTAACTATCTTATTGCACTGTGTCTGATGTAACAATCCCGTGCCAATAAGTAAATGAAAAAAGCACGAATTGTCACATAAGACCCATACAATAAATCTTGGTTTAGGATCATAGATCTTAGTTCGGAACTACGGACGGATCTTGGTCCGAGACCACAAATCATGATTCCCGACCATGGCTATTTTGCAATGTATAAATATGACAGCTAAACTGATAAAGAGGAATAATAAATTCGAGAGAATTCAGCATGAGTCATAAATGAAAAAAAATAAAGTGCCTTATGAATCGTATACAAACTAAGATACATTCTTTAATAACCCATTATCATTAAATCTAAACATTCATCTCGCATAACCTATGTTTGTAACCCTGAGCTAATGTTATTCAAGCTTCTCCCACGGTTACAACACCACAAGTACGTACTAGTTAGGTGCTAAATATTTATACTCCATAATTTGGCTAGCGTGGATTGGTACTAAACGTAAAATATTGTACTGGTGTTAAGCATGGTGTACCCGTGACAAAGGTTTAGGATCATGTGACACCATTCAACCTCCAATATAATATTACATAACGATAATGTACATAATGTAACATATTAGAGAAAATCAAGTACGTAACCAGATATCCGTAACTAAAATGCAGTGTTTAAATAATTTGTGATGCATTTTTTTTTTCGTATATCAAACATTTAGAAATATTTTTAATGAGCCATGAGTAAATAAGAAGAATCGAATCTCTTTAAATTGGTTATAAATACATCTTGGGTTCGATAAAGATAAATGCCACGCATCGTACAATAATGTGATGAACGTAACACCAAATAATTGTAACGGGTCACAAAAAAATTTAAAAGAATCACAGAATAAATATCAAACAATTTCTTATAGGCGTTAACTAATAATTAAAGGAAATCTTAAAAATCTGACTGGTTGGTCCGAAGCCATCTTTTGTTGTGGGTTCTCCCATATAATGTTTACATAGTACAGCCAGTCAAAATCGAGAATCTATCAATGATAAAATTTGTGTAGACTACACAGCAATTACAATGGAATTCCAAAAATTTTCATCTAATCAGTTTTACTAGTGCAACTTAAAAATATAAATAGGCTATTTAACGTTAGAAAGTTTTTTTTTATTCTTAAATTCTTGTCTTTGAATAAGTATTATAATAACGATAATGAATTTTTACAAGAATTTAATTTCCGATCTTCCAACTTTAATTGCTGTGTTACTACTTTTATATGCAATAAGATACTATTATAAATATTTTACCAGAGTAAATCCGCTACCTGGTCCATTTCCTTGGGTGCCTTTCTTAGGAAATTCACTTGATTTAATTAAATATAAATTTAACATCGCGGAATATTTTAAAGATATTCAATCGAAATATGGCGATTTCTGTGAAATTTATATGGGATCTAATAGACTTATCCTAATTTCAAATGGTGATATAGCATATCCAATTCATACTCCTTCAGTAACACTTAGTCGTAAATTCTTATATCGCGGTGTAGGAAATGATGGACTGAAAGAATTGGGTTTTGAAAATAGTGGAATGTTTGGTACTAGAAACTTAGATGAATGGAAAATTAATCGTGAATTCTTCGAAAGAATATCAAAGTCAAGAAATTTTTTAATAATGTTTACAAGCAAATCATATGAAATGGCATCTAATATGCTTAATTTATGGGATATTTTGATAAATGACCAACGAGATATTGATCTGTCTAAATGGCTACCAAAATATTCTGCAGACATAGGGGTCACAACATGCATAGGAATACCTTCATACTCAGTACTTTCTTATTTTAATTCGCTGGGATATGATGATTATAATTCTATTTCAGCTTCAGAACGAGAATTATCTTTGAAATTAGTGTCAGCAGTTAATAAAATTTTTCAATTAGGGCAATGTAATGATTTTTTAAACGTACCTTTGTATGTAAATAATCGTTATTAAATTAAAAATGCCTAATATTTAATATTTGTATTTTTATTTTTTTATTCACTCAAGGGTTCAATTTAGTTCCAACCTTTATAAGGCATGCACCTATCATAAGCTACTTTAATAATATTTTCTTAGACGCTATGAGAAAAGTTGAAAAATTTTTTTCTGAAATAATTCAAAAAAGACACGCAGAAATTAATTCATTACCTGAAGATGCTTCGCTACCATCCGACGACCTTTTAACAATGCTTCTTACTGTTAACACATCACATGGTATAGAAATTCCTTCATATAAGTCCTTAAACCGAACGTTAGATGATCGTGAAGTTTTCGGAACTATTAGAGATATTTTCCTTGCTTCTTTTGAAACGGTAACAAATTGTTTAATATAATGTTTTAATAGCAAATTGACTATAATTGCTAATAATGACGATTATATAATTAAAATGTTTCATAATAGGTTGCGGGCGCAATGTGTTTTGTATTTTACTATTTGTGCAAATATCCTTCTGCAAAAGCTAAATTAATTTCGGAAATCAATACGATATTCGGAAACTCAATCCCTTCAAAGTTGGATTACGAAAATTTAAACAATCTTCCATATTGTGATGCCTTCATTGAAGAATCACTTCGCATACACGCAGTGTTCCCATATTTTTTTCGATCAAATTCTGAACCTGTAGAGGTTGGTGGATATCTATGGGAAAAAGAACAAACATTTTTATTACATTATAAGCAAATAAATGTTAATAAAAATGATTGGATTGATGGAGATATTTTTGATCCTGAAAGATTTTTACGGAATAAAGATAGTGAGCGAGCGATAAATGCTAGAAAAGCTAATAATAAGGGGGCATTTGCAACTTTTGGTGGAGGTGCTAGAGCTTGTCCGGTTTGTATTAGTAAAAGTTACGAACTTATATATATCATATGAATAAGTTTAAACCTAAATTTAATTATTTCCATTTACAGGGAAAGCTTTGGGCAATATCTGAAATAAAAGTACTTTTAGTGGCAGTCTTAATGAGATATGATGTAGAATTTGCAAATAAAGATCAAAGAATGGATTTGTATGTTGATGCTACTTTTCATTTCAAAGAACTCAAAATCCGTCTAAGACCTAAGATGCAGAAAGCATAACTTAAATAGTAATTAGTGGTTCAGACTAATTTTTGATACGGTGTAGAGTTGATACCTGAAACGAAACTTATCCGAAACTAATTCTTAATATATTATTTATATTATATTATATCTATTGAAATTGTTATTTTCTATTTTATTTTATTTTCTATTTTTTTTTTTTTTTTTTATAAGGAAAATTTTTCTTCATTTTTATATAATTTTTAACTTCACTTTCATTATCAGTTATTATAAAAAAAAAAATTATAGTCAATTCTTCTAACAGCTGTGAAAAAAAAGTTAGTTATAAAATTACTACGCCCTATGAGATTATATAGCGACTATATTGAATTATTATGAAATGTGAAATTTTTGAGTTCATTATTCCAGAGTTCGTGATAGTGAGGGTTGCTAGTTGAATAATATAGCTGCACAACGTATTTGTGCTAAAACTAGGAATGAAGGTCCATGAGTTATATTAAAGGTTTTAATTACTATAATTGATAAATTATGCTTACTCAGTTGCCATTCATCAAGAAATAAAATTCAATGGGAGTCCGAACAGACCTCAATGGATAAGCTCCACTGATTCCATTGAGGTTTTCCACCGGGTTCTGTTTACTATACAAATCCCTTTCTATCAATGAGTTTATTCAATTTAAAAAAATAAGTTCTTGAATAAGAGCCGAAGTAATGTATGCAGTGGCCGATGGAGGCGAATGTGTCTTAATTACATGAGTGACAGGAAGAGAAAACCTGTAATAATGCTTTTTGAATATTTACATTTCATAATGATAAAAATACCCTACAGGGGGGTGACAAAAATATTTCCACACCTAAGGACTTGGCTTATAACTCAAAAACTTACTAATTAACCTATGTCCTTGATTTGACTATAGTAATCCTTACTCCTTGAGGATTATTCCATATCATTTTTAGATCACATGCTTGCATAATTAGCAAGTTATTTAACTTTACTTTTAGGGTTTTGATAAATTCTGTAAGTATCTGTGTTTCTGTGTAAATATTTTAATAACTATTAGTCTAATCTTAATGAAATTTTACCAGCTTATAGAGGAACCTTTTCTCTACCCACTGTAAAAATTTAATCAAATTTTAATCAATAATCAGATAAGAAATTAATAAAAACAAAAATTTTATAGGTCAAACTTCTAAGCTAATTTTCTCAATGATTATTAGTCTAATGTTAATAATTTTTATTTTATCTAATAGATATGCACTCCCTCTACAATATAAAAAAAAATTGGCTAAATCTAATTACTAGTTGTAGAGATAAGTCAAATAATCTATTATAACATGTCAAATTTTAGTCATCATCATATATCTCGATTATCTCGGCAACCAGTTACGGACTTGCCAATGTTTTTTTTATTTCGTAGAAGAGACATAATACTTTAAAATAAAAAAAAAATTGCTCGATTCTAATCACTGAAAGTCGAGATAATCGAGGTTAAAGTTCGCCATTAAATTATTCCACGATTTTCGTCGCCGATTGTCACGATTATCACATGACACAATCGTTAAGGCATACTCAATTCACTTACACGTACTTTCTAACCCCATAGTCTTTTATTAAATACCTTTTTTATTTTTTTTCTTTGTATCCGGCTAGACTAAAGAAAATACGGATTCCAGTTAATTTTAATGCCATGTTAGTGTTCTGGACCGGGTGGTCAACCCGTAGTAGGTTAACTACATCAATGTCATGTATTTATTCTCAATAAAGATATTATTAACTTGATTCCGGCCTATATATTCGACTTGTAAAAACTAATTAATGATAGAGTCGAATAAGTTAGTATTTATTATTAAAGTAGAATAGAAATAATTTAATTTTTATAATAAATAATTAATTTAGTAAGTGCGAAATAACTTATATGTATTTAGTAGTATATATATTAAATTATGAATAAGTTAAATAAACTTTTTAGTAGTACGTATGTTAAAGTGCAATAAATAGTACACATATATTAAATATAGAAATATAATCATATTGAAGTGTTGGATTTATGGCAAAATGATTGGTGTACCTTCCATAAATCTCGTATTATATTATCATAGCTATAACTTACCCGATTTATTTGTTTATCATCTTAGTAATTTTAGGTAAAAGAGTCTATAGAATTTTAAGCTTTGGTTAATATCAATATAGAAAGGGATTATTCTTAACTTGGTTAAAAAAAATCAATGCAACTAGGGTTGGTAAAGTTCCTAGGTTCGGAACCTAAAAATCTAGTTTTGGAACCTAGTTTTTAAAAACCAGGTTCTAATTTTAAAACCTAGGTTTTTAGGTTCATAATAGGTTTTTAGGTTCATAATAGGTTTTTAGATTCAAATAGGTTTTTAGGTTCAAATAGGTTTTTAGGTTCAAATAGGTTTTTAGGTTCGTAATAGGTTTTTAGATTATATAGCATATATTTATATATATATATATATATATTAATTTTTTTTTTACTTGCATATTTTTATATTGCTCTTGCATATTCATATATAATACGTACCAGATATCTTTATTTAACGGTTAATATACTGTATACTCACGTA